GTGTCTCTAAGACACAACAGAAAATGCCTGTGACTCTAGTCCATGTTTTCTTCTTGTTATAGGACACAAAAATAACTCCAAAAGTAATATCTTGATTATGATAAATTGTCATCAAAATGTTGGTTACCACTGCTCTTTGAAAGCACCATCTCCTACATGCAGCATTATAAGAATATGGATAAATAGCCCCACATTTGTATAATATAGCTTATAATATAATATATAGAATAATATAGTTTAATAAATACAGCTTTTTTATTCTTTAAAACCCATGGCTCCATAGGATAAGCCACTCCAAACATCAGGTTTGCTTTCCCAAGTGAAAAAGAAGTAGCCCTAACCTGAAGCTAGGTCCAGAGAAACTCATTTCCATTGCACCCCTTGGGGTAGTCATGAGCTTTTCTCAAAAAGAAACCCCACAGCCAACCCTCTGGTCTTCAACCAACCTCACCCTCCTGTCTCACAGCAGCACCCCTGAGGATACAGGGCTGAGCATCCACATCATCCTCTCATCCACACCAACCAACAGATTCCCATGGACAGTAGGACCTGCTTGTAGCTAGTTGCAATGAGTGAAAAACACTAATTACTCTAAAAAACACTTTATAATCAGGGCTGTATTTATTGCTAGCTGGCAGGTCCCAGGCACAACAGGTCCCAGGGAGGCACAGTGAGCTGAGCTGGCTGCTCCCCTCCCAGGGGGCCAGCTAGCTCAGGAACACTGGAAAACCTTTGCAGGCAGTGGGGGGGGAGAAAATCAGCTCTTTTTGTAAAGCAAGCAAAGAAATGAGACACGAATACCCCTCTGCAATCTGTTTCTGTACCCACTAGAAGGTAACTTGATGGGACTGTGCACACCTTTGCCCTTCTCACCCATCCTACACACGCTGCTCACAGATTTCTTCAAATCCACGTTTTGCTTTGACAAGAAAAAATTAAAGAGTTGTTTTCTGTAAAAACCATTAGTCTGACAACAATGTAAAAATTACAAGCAAGCTGTTTTCCTTGTGTTTCAATTCAAAGGGACATAATATCTGTGGGTTTAAAGGTACTCCCTTGTTTCCCATCAACATAGCTGTGCTGATGTATGGATGCTCATCCAGACACCACCCACCCACGCTCCAGTTTATAACCTCCACTGAGTAAAAGCATCATTTTGGTAACAAATCTACACCTCTTTATCTCCTCATCCCTTGAGCAGCCTGAAACTTTTATTCCTCACAAAGGGCTTTAAGATATCTGCCCCTGCTTTTGGATGAAAACAGCTCAGAGGTGCGGAAGAGCCGCTGAGTAAAACCTAAATATCTTCAGCCCCTACCTGGCAGCCCAAGAATGGTGAAATAAGGTCGACACTCTGTAAAGCCAGAGCTCTGCCTCACGCAGCTCCTCCACAGCCCCTGATATTGGAAGACGGCGGTGACCGGGTTGTCATACAAGTCCTGAGTGCTCCACGTGTCCATGGCAGTGGACACGATACACCCCGCGACACCCAAGGACGAAACGATGAACCCCATCACCTGGCAGATGGTCGTGGACATGGTTTGTCCCCTGGAGAGAGGAGGTGAGACGGCCCTGGATGAAGCCACAGAGCTAATGGGAGCACCGAAGTTCTCTTGACTGAGCCACAAGGAGTTCAGCAGCTCTTATCAGATGCTTTCCATTCAGCGGCGTGTTTGCTCAAAGTGTTTTTGCAAGATAGTCCAGTTTCACTCTTGCTGGGTACGTTTGTGCTGGCAGGGGTAGAGATATGAGCTTTTGTCCTTTAAAAGTGCTTGTCCTTTCCCAGCTAAGCAGCTACACTCCGTCTAGTGTTGGGCAACCCACTTGGAACACGTTCCATCCCCCCATCGAAACCCTTTGCTGTCCCACCAGGCTTCTCCTTCATGCCTGGGCTGAGTGAAGGACCATGTTCCCAAGTGTTCCCAAGTGAACTCAGCACCCAGCCCAGGTCATCACCTCCCTGACTCTCTGTTTATGCAAAGGAGGAGTAGATCTGCCATCAGACCAAGAGAGGGGACATCTGAACACTCAGCCACCTACGTAGGTGTCCACAGAAGAGGCACATGCTAACGGTGATCAGGATGTGGGGCCACCATCTCAACCCAGGGAACAAACAGGGACACGGCTGCTCCTTTTGGTCACTTTGAGCATCACTGGATGCTAACCATGGCACAACCCAGGGCACTGACCAGCCACCTATGTAGGTGTCCACAGAAGAGGCACAGTGATAGACAGGGATGCTAACGGTGAGCAGGATGTGGGGCCACCAGCTCAACTCAGGGAACAAACAGGGACACAGCTGCTCCTTTTGGTCACTTTGAGCATCACTGGATGCTGACCATGGCACAACCCAGGGCGCTGACCCAAATGCCCCAAACTGACCCCACGAAGCTCTTGCAACCCTGTTCTCCTCCTTCCTGCATCCCCATCACGTGGCCCCACTGAAAGCCAGGTGGAGAGAAGGAGAGGGAGGGTGCTGGGACCATTTGGAAAGGGCCTTTTTACAGGTGCTTTTCTGTATTGGCTTGGGGGAGGAGGATGGTGCTGGATAAAGGGGTAAGGGATATAAAATTA